TCCCAGTTCCTAGCTACCAGCTGCGGCCTTCGTAATCCCTACTTGAACCATGTTGCTTTAAGTACTTCCTTGGCTTGCTCTCTTTTTTAGGAGGACAATAAGTCGGAGCTCAATTATTCTCTATGCTCTTCGCTCTAAATAAATATAAATTTGAGCCGACGAGTCGTGTAGGGTATTGGATTGAATAATATCGAACATAGAAATCAACTATTTTACTCTTTAACTCCTGGTTCTCATTCCAAATTCCCACTTGGCATAAGTGCTTTGCTCTCGTATCTACGGTGCAGGATGGCATTTTGTTCTTCCCAACATCATAAAGGTTAGGCGAGCGTTAATAAGCCTAAACTTTCTGAACTCTACGAAGCTGAATTGCTTCTCATAGCATAAGCCTAGCCATCCCTCTTTGCATACTAACGCTCTCTGATACTGAAATCCTCTGACTGCAAAAATCTCAGAATATCAATGCACTCTCGCATACTCCAAAACAGACTGAAGAGACGGGAAGAGCAAAAAGAAATCTACAACAGCCGGTATTCGCTGGTCGTCACCGACCCAACTACTAATCGGCCCCTTGTGAGCTTAACGTGCGGAGAGCAAACGGGATCCAGTGCTGCCTCACAGGTATGATCGTAGATGACAGCAGATGAGGGTATGTGGCTTATATAGGTACGTTTTCCTCGGCAGATCAGCTCCTCCATCTCCAGTTTATATAGACCCTACAATACTTCTGGCTGAATGATGGTGTCAACTACTCATTTCTTTATTTGAAATCTCTTTTTCAGGGTTTCTTCTATGTAGTATTGATATCTTAGCCCTAGAATTGCTCCATTCAATGACTTAGTGGGCTTGGGAGTATATAGAGATTTAGTCCAATGTTGATGCAAACTCTAACCAAACACTTATCCTCACATATCGAGTCGGGGCTACGTCCTTCTAACCGGATCTGGATTAAAACCCAGATTTCATTAAGTTAAAAACTAGTATGTGTTTTACTTCCTTTACTGTATTCTTTCAAAAACACGTCCTTGAAATGGACATGAGTCTTTCCAAGCTGATTACGCCTAAAATCTTGCGATTTGAGCTCTACATATTTCATAAACGACTAGATCTCAAGTATTTCATTTCGTAATCAAATGCTCTTTTACTTCAGGCACCATGAGATAATGTCTGTTTACCCATCTCGAGTAGATCCGCATTGCTTGGTATATTCGTGGTGTAGTCTGAGCCATGCTTCCCCGAGCAGAGTAAAATATTAAATAATGGAACTTCATCTATTTTAAGGTCCTTAATATGATTGGTATTGCTTACACATCTACAATTCGGTGCGATGGCGTTGTAGCCTGTCAGTTAAACACGAACACTCCCTTGATGATGATAAGTTCTTTTACGCGGGCAATGGGCATCTATATGAACACACCTTAACGCTATAGAAGATGAATACGTAGGAAGTAGGTACCTCCATAGCTTTCTGCAGCTTGTTGAAGTCAGTTTCTCAAACAACGTCAAACGTTATTGGGCGTCTTGTTGATACATCAAGTGGTTATTGATATTTTATTCGTGCTTGAAGTTTGTTCCCCTAGCGGGATCATATCTACTCGAGTGAGTCTCCTGTTTTGCGCTTCTAATCAAGCTATACACTCTCCATCTCTTCTTTCGTACGATGTGCTCGGCTAACTCCTTAGTGTAACAAGAAAGAAAAACATATAGAGTGAATTTTAATGATCACATCTGATAATTACTTCGGTGAAGACTTTTTGAATTCTGATACACATGATATAGATTGATTCATTCATTCTGACAACTCGTCGAGATTCGAAATCTCACCAAAGACATCGAGGAGAATCATACGCTCAACTCTCTCCATGTGGGTCACCGGCTTTAAATGTCTCTATTTTGGCTTGGGCGTGATGTGCGAGAAGACGTCATTAAGCCAATGAGAGATGCGTACCATTCCTGATTCCGGCAACAAATTACTTCCACATTCAATTATCCGCGGAGTCGGATAACTTTCGACAAAGGCGGAAAAGCATCAACCTAATCCCTCAGGACTGACTCTGGGAACTACATCATCAACTGTTCCAAAATTGATGCACATCCTAGACTCGACTATATGAGTTTACAAAAAATGCCTATTCAGAAGTATGCGTTATCACCACCCTGCCTCGAGGAGCTGGCCCAGACTTTGAGCGCGCCACTTGCAGCCAACTATGAGGAGTCGGCAGTGAGTGTCGTTGACTGCCCCGATCTCCGGCAGGCGCCATTCCATCTCGCCTCTCAGGGTCTATCAGGAGACGAGAAGATCGCGGATGTCGGTGGCCAGCCGAATCTCTTCCCCCGGCCTAACCTCGAGAGCAAGTGGTCAATGGTCAGCATCGGCACATCCATGGACATGAGCGCTGATAAAGGAAGCCTCATTGGGGCCGGGGCAGGCCCGTTTCACGTGCTGGGGCAGAACTCCGAGCTGGCGCCGAATCTAAGCTGGAAGGACGGCACCGTCACTAACGAGTCTCGCTTCATCAAGATCGACGGTGCCACCAACGCTGTTGTCGTTGACAAGAGTCCATCCGTGGACTGCGGACTGATGGTGAACCTGTTCGGATCCCAGGGCGAGCCGGGCCCGGTACTCAAAATCACCGCACGGAAGAGGAAAGGCCAGGAGAAGAGCTTCTCGGAATGCATCAGAAAGGGCCTGCACGCCGCCTACGGTGACTCACGGACGGTCAGTCTCGGGGGCGTCTTCGTCGTCAAGTCAGGGAAAGCCCATTACCACGTGATGCCGGACTTCCCCTCCCAGCCCTTCAACGGGCGAAAAGACGTAGACAATTGGCTCACATTCCATGATTTCAATGGACCTATCGTATGTCTCTCTGTACTACATTCAGCCGACCCTGGCAGTGAGATGGGGCTGCGGATAGAGCATACACACTGCTTCTCTGCAGCAGGAGAGAACGCCGGTGGCCACTATCATTATGATCTTGATGACACAGCGGAAACAGTCGAGTACGAGGCGTACTTCAACACTGCCAAGATGATCTACAGAATTGACCGAGCCACTGCGGCCTAGTAAGACTAGACAGGGTTTCCATGCTGGAATATATTGGTGGTAAGATCTGCTATCCCTGGCAAAACACTGTGCCGGATCATCTTACACCCCATTGACGACTTTGAGCTAGACCCGTCAACCCCAGTCCTATGTCATATGCTTCCCGGGGCAAGGGCAACAACAGGGAAGGAGTCGTCAGGATGATATCTTCATGTGACTCGGTGGGCCGTGGGGTTAGTGTAGTATCCAAGACCATCATCACCTTGGCTAATATGCTTCATCTTCTATAAAGACTTAATCTGTACCCATAAAACATGGTTTCAGGTCGAAAATGTGATATTGCCAAGTGCGTGCTGGTTGAAACACTGTGTGATTCCTCGGAGAGGCAAATGGAAGACCCATCAGACCGACTTGTTTGCCGCTCACGCCACAAGTCAACTCTCCAACATGGAGGAGTTTCTTAATAATGGCAAAAACGAGATAAATACAATCTTACAAAAGGAAAACAAGCAACAAATACGAATCATCATCAAGGCATATGCCAACCCCCAGGTCTAGCGCGACCCAGAAGGATGGTTGGCCCTTTGCCCTTGACCTCTACGTCTCCAAAATAAGTAGACTAGACCTCCCCTCCCGCTCTCTAGCACGCTCACGTTACCTGTAGTCAGGCTATGTTGGGGGAGATGCGACGATTTTGGTGTCAAGGAAGGGCTTGCCACGCCACCCATGAACACATATCCGGGGAGTGGGCGTTCTGGAAATGGCATTTCGGGCTGAGCGAACTATGCAATTTGGCACGATATGTATCTTTACGACAGCCGGAGTTGGCGCAAGGTAAACCAGGGATAGGCTGGGGCCATGTCACCGCATGCTGGAGAAAATCAACGTGGCAAACAAGCATCCTGAAGGAGCCATTTGCGAACTATTTCATCTCATCGTATACGCGCGTGCTGGGGAAGAACAACACCGCGGAGAAGGAAAAACTGATGTGATGGAAGGTGGAACAGGATTCTCGGCTTCCCTGAAACGCAGTTTACTGGAGAAGTCCGGCTGTTTGCCGGCCGCCAAGACGTTGAGAATTTGGTCAGTCGGTCAATTGGCCATCGATCCATGGCATAGCGTGCGCATGTGGAAGTGGAATCAAATGGTAATTACTCGGAACAGAGGTTTGGAAGCTGTCGGGTTTGTCGGAACGGCAGCACGTCCAATCACCACCTTGACTCGGCCGGCTGGGAATCGGACCTCCGAGCAAAATTTGCTGCATAAGGCTTATAAAGATGACATACCAGGGCGTGGAAAACGGCCTGGCCCCTGGCTGGAGAACGCATAGCGATCCGTGATAAGGTTTTGGTCACCATTTGCATCGGAGCCGGTTTTGGGGGCTGTCACAGTTGCATGAATTGGCGTGACAGGGGACCGGGAAATCACCTGACGACAGGGGCCTGGAGAGAAAACATTGGATGGAGAAAACCTCAGCTTTTCCCACAAGAGGATGTGTTGGGCGGAGGAGAGAAATTTTTTCCATCAGCAGAGGCCTCCTTAGCTGCATGTGGACGGCGCTGTCCCTGCATTAGCACAGGTAAGCCATACATGATATGGGATGCAAAGGCATGCAGTCTACGAGAAGAGACGAACAGGAGGAGCTATCCTCATACAGGAACTGCGAACGCCGGTGTAGGAGCGGTAGCGGAATTCCTGCCGTTCACCATCCTTAGATCCCGTCTCATCCCGTACTTTATCTTGTCGACATAGACATCTGGATGGAATTGCACTATGAAATGGAGCCAATTAAACACAAGAGATACATGTAATATATCAACTGCGTATGATCAAAGAGCCACATGCGAGCAAGCCTGGATATCCGAGGGAGTGGGAGCCCGGGAGCGAATGGAAAGGCGCAAAATAGAGCCTCGACGAGCCGGTTTCTGGAGTCTGGCCCTTGGATGGGGGGATGGGATCAGGGTTCCTCCCGGCCCACACGGCTGAGAGTCCAGGAGGCCCCGGGTTCGGACTTGAATGTCGACCCAGAAGCTGAGCAAGCTCGAACCACTCACTTACATCTGGCCGTCGACTTCTGCCATGGCCTCACAACGCGATTTGTCCCGGTTTCTCGGGTTGGACTGTTCTCGATCGCAGCTGGGTCGACCCCCAGCTCGCCGTCTCCAGCATAAGAGTACATAACGTCTAAGTGTCTTTACATATCGAGCCGTGGACTCGCTCATCTTTATGCCGCAAGACCAGCATCTCTCACCGCAAGGGCCACATAAGTATATCCGCCTTCTATTCCTAGTTCCGGGGTTCTATAACCATTATCTGGTAGTTCTGGGCAAAAGAAGCCGGGATTCCATCATATTCTTTATGTGTAATCAACAGCGAGCCCGGATGAGTCCCTTGGTTGGAACCTGAACAGGAAAAAATCTCTTGCTTGGAACCTCTACAAGAAAGGAAAGACATTTGATCTTACTCTCACCCCATCCCACCTCCTATCACTGCCAACTTCCTGCAACCCACTTGCCTCTGAGTAATTATGCAAGACTTTGAAACAAAGACCGTCGTCGTGCTCGGCGCGGGGTGGGCCGGCATCACCCTCACCCACCAGCTCCTCAAGCACGTCCTCCCCAAGGTCCCCGAGCTCCGGGTCGTCCTCGTGTCCCCCAACACCCATTTCTTCTGGAACATCGCCGCCCCGCGCGGCATCATCCCAAACACCCTCACCGACGACGAGCTCTTCGTCCCCATCGCCCCGGCCTTCGCAAAGTACCCGCCCTCCGCCTTCGAGTTCGTCCTCGCGACGGCCGAGACCATCGAGCCCCAGTCCAACACCGTCACCGTCCGCCTGGGCGACTGCGAGGCCGCCAAGCTGGGCGACGGCGAGGACCTGAGGGACATCGCCTACGACCAGCTCGTCGTCGCCGTCGGGTCCCGCGTCTTCCACAACCTGCCCCTCAAGGCGGTAGGGAATCACGCCGAGACGCTGGCGGCGCTCCACGACCTGCAGGGCAAGGTCGCCTCGGCCAGGTCCATCGTCGTCGGGGGGGCGGGGCCCACGGCCGTCGAGGTGGCCGGGGAGCTCGCCTCTCACTACGGGAGGTCCAAGGAGATCACCCTGGTTGCGAACAGCGACCTCGTGCTGGCTGACCAGACGCACAACGTGCGCGTGACCGCCGAGAAGGACCTGCTCAAGCTCGGGGTGAAGATCATCCATCACAACCGGGCCGAGAAGAGCGAGGATGGGGATAAGAGAGCGATCCATCTCTCCAGGGGCGGCACCATCTATGCAGACTTGTTCCTCCCACTGTACGGCGTCGTCGTGAACAACGCCTGCATCCCCCAGGAGTTTCTGGACTGGGAAGGCAATTTAAAACTAGACCAGACCCTCCGCGTGCAGGGAACCCAGAACATCTGGGGAATCGGCGACGTCGGAAACGTAGAGGTGAAGCTTCTCGTTGCTCTGGAGGGCCAGACCGGGCACCTCATCAACGCTCTCGAGGCCGTCCTGACTGGCGTGGGATCTTCAACGGAAGTGTACCACCCGACCAACAAGACCATCATCTTCTTCTGCTTTGGCCGGTGGCGTGCGTCAGGCCAGATCGGCAACTGGAAGATTCCTGGCTTCTTCGTCAGCATGTTCAAGGGGCGACGGCTATTTGTTGACAATGCGCAGAGTTACGTGAACGGCAAGACTAGGCAACCCGCTGCTTGAAGAACGTGTGATCACTGAATGATTCTCACTCTCTTGTCGCTCTTCCTCTGTTTTCTCTTGTCCTTTTTTTTTCCTCTGGCGTTTTGGTATGCAAGCATTTGGTGTTTCCGAGATATCCTAGAGTACGCAGTTCAAGCTGCGTGCATGTCTGACTCGCAGTCGGTTTGATGAATTATATACCCACGCACGATTCATTTCACTTCCATCTCTAAAAGTTCACGGTCTGTGTCTTGGATGCTATGCCATCTTGTGACTGGAGACCGTTCTCATTCTTCGTGCATTCTAGTTCGTCTAGTTCTGCGAGAGTTGATTGTCCATTGCTATTTTTCACATGATATAAGTGCCCAGAATGTATATTGGCAACTATTAGCATTTCTACTAAATAATTAAAGATTAACGAAAACCATCTTTGACTATTCAATTCGCCCACTCTTCTACAATTTATCCCCCGCCTTCTCATCGTCGATGACCTTCTCCTCCGTCACCGTCATGCCAGACGTCTTCGACCCCCTGCCAAGCATGCCCTTGAACACGCGAACCATGCTGTGCCGCCCTTCCCAGAGGGGGAAGAGACCAACGGCGATGGAGCTTCCGAACAGCCAGATGATGCCCACCGTGACCCAGCCGGTGAAGAAGGGCTTCGAGAAGACGTAGGACGAGCCGTACATGGGCATGGGCCAGAGGACCAGGAACGCCAGGGTCATGCACACGGTCATGATCTTGGCCACCTTGGAGGCCTTGTTGAGCTTCGCCTTGTCCTCCTCGGGGGCCACGACGACGAATCCGGCAGCCGGTCCGTTCTCCGAGTCTTCAATTACCATGTCTGACGAGTCCACGTCGTCGCCTTGCTTGATGGCAGCCATGGATGCCCAGTCGTAGTTGTCGGCGCCAAAGGCGAAAGTCAGTACGGGGACGAGGACGACGGGGCTGAGCAGGGCGACGACGTTTCCTGCCAACATCGGGTTGTTGGACCCGAGTGTCTCGACTGTAAGAACGCCATCGTACTCCTTGGCGCAGGTGACGGTCCAGGCAATGAGGGCAAAGATGAGTCCGAGGACGGGGGAGACGGCAGCGGCGATCCAGTTCTGGCGCGACCAAAGAAGCGTGAGGGCGGCCGGGATGACGGCCGCGGAGATCATGACGCCCATCCACACGTAGAGCCATCCCATGCTGATGCCGGCGTAGAACAACCCAACACTGAACCCAGCCATGATGACACCGTACAAGATAACGGAAGAGTGAGACATGGCGATCAGGCGCTGGCCCGAGGCCTGGGGGTTAATATAGGTCCTACAATACAAATTAGTCCAGGTTGACTCATGACGAAGATCCAGGGGGAGAGCATACTTGTAAATATCATAAGTAAAGATGGAAGACACAGCAATAAGCTGAGCAGAGGCGGCCGAGGTCACGGCCATGAAGATCATGATCAGGGTGCAGACGGCGCCAGACTTGCCGAGCAGGCCAACCGCCGCATACGGCAGCACAAGACCGGCAGACACATCGGCCGCGTTCATGCGGTCGGGATAGGTCGGGAAGGACGGGCTGCTCTCGAGAGCCAGGGCGCTCAGTCCCATGGTAGTGGCGCACAGCCAGGGAATTGCGAACCAGGAGAGGCCGCCGATGATGTACCCGGGCAAGGCTGCAACTGGGTGTGCCGCGATGGCCTTGTTGTAGTAACCTGGATTAACAGTAGTCAGTAACTCGGATGCTTGTTGATGAGGTTAGGGGCGGAGATGGTCACACGTACCGTTGTCCATGAACACTGTACCGAAGTTGCCGACGATGTTGATGACGAAGAAGATGATGCCCTCTCTGGACCTCATGGTGAGGTATGATCCCTCCGCGTTACCCTCAACGGGGTGCGAGGCGGCGGCTTCCACGAGCCTGTCGTACACTTCGGAGGGGGAGCCCAATTCAGTGCCAGTGGCGTACGCGGTGAGTGCAAAGATGAGGATGATGACGAGGATGACGACGGTGTGAACCTAGAGCCCGGGCAAGTTAGTCACGGCCGCCCATTGCATGCGGTCAAGATGAACGGTTGGTAATACGTACATAGTCAGTGAGGAATGTCGCCTTGATTCTGACAGAGGGGGTCATATTAGTCAAGTCTGGAGAAGACATACTTGGTCACAGAAGACTCACCCTCCGAACATGGTGTAAAGAACGACGCCGAGAGGCAGGAGGAAACAAGCAGCGGCAGTGTGCATGCCCGTGAGAGATGTTACAACAGCGGAACCACCTGTCAGCAGCATAGCGGTGACCAGAATGTTGGTGAACAATCCAAAGCAGATGTATACGCAGTGAGTGACACGGCCTGTTGTTCTCGGGAGTCAGTGCCACGTTCAAGTTAACAGCTCAATGAGCAAGATATGAAGTAGAGTCTGAGAGAAGATTTACGTACCGTAGCGGGCGCGAATAACTTCAAGGAAGGTGTGCGCATTGGGTGCTCGTCTCTTGAGCTCGATTGCCAGGGTTGCGAAGAGAATGATCTGGACAGTGGCTCCAGAAGCGTACTGTGCAAACGTTCAGTCATTGTGTCTCTGACGTACAAACAGATAACATCAACATGATCAATCATGAGGATAGCTTGTGATGGGGTGGAGGGAAATTTCTTACCCAGAACGGTCCAGATACACCATATCTGTATGCCACTCCAGAAGACTGAAGGAGAGTCGCGGCCCATGTCCAACTAGACACGACAGCAGAAGCAACCAGACCTGACTTGACAGTTCTACCAGCCGTGTTGAACATCTCCGAGGTTTGCTTCTCATTGTTGTACCTGTGAATATGAGAGCAAGGTGTGAGCCAAAAGCATAAGCCAGTGGGCAATGGGCTCAATCCGCCTACCGTTTCAAAACCCAGGTCGTGGCTATCATGCCCAGGGCGAAGAGGAACCCGAGACCAACTACGATGCCATAGCCATAGGCCTGGCTCAGAGGGGGTGCGATGGCGCCCGAGGACGCTCCGCCTCCGCCTGCCATGTCTCTGTCGATGAATGCGCGGAAGATGAGAGAAGGTGTGGATGTGGAAATCAGGCAATTCCTCGTCCAAGCTGAAATAGACTCAGATATGCTCAATATTATTCAAAATATGTTCTATCACCCTTTGGAACTTCTGAACGAGATGATCTGCAATGCGAGGCGATCTGAAACTAAATAATAATTCATGTACATGATAACCACCCCCATCACATCACCTCCCCGCCCTTTTCGGCCGCCAGATCTCCGTACGCGCAGCGATGTCATCTCTCGGGGGAGAGGGGTTAGCAGAGTTTCGAAGATGGCGAGCTGACTGGATGATAAGGCTCGTCGAATTGATTCGGCACTTGCTGCAAGGCCCAGAGGGTAAACTCTATCGAGGTAGCATCCGGTCTGGGGATGGCTGAGGTGAATGATAGGGAAATCCCGGCACACACCTCGCCCGGGGCAAAGGCCGCCGTGTAGTTCGTGATTCGTCGACGATCACAACTGGAATCGGAGAGCTCGAGATAAGGAGGCAGGTTTCTGTCATAACCTTTACTGTCATCAGCAGCGTTGCAATCAAACGGGTGGGGTTGGCTGATAAGGATCCGGGGTCGCGCTGATAAGGGCCTGCTCCAGACAGAGAGGAGGCAATTCATTAATCATCGCGGGTCTTTATCAGGAGACAGCTCTTTATCGGGAGCCAAGCTGATCCTGCTCCCCACGGGGGCGTCAATGGCAAGGCCTGGGTGGCTCGTTCGGCGGATGAGGCGTTGATTGCGGGACATCCCTCGCCAGGGCTGAGAATGGCTTATACGAACATCTCCCCCAAAGGTGTGTCATCCCACCTGTCCTATCTATCTAGAATCCAGCCTCTAATGCACTTTGGAAGCCACTGGTGCATTAGTGTTCGCTTACCGGCGAGATCTGGTCCTCGAATGCCTGCAATGCCTCTTCGATGATCATCATGGGCCAACCAAAAGGTCAAGTCTTCATCAACTACCAACCATCCATTTGGAGGATGAGTGAGAACTGGCGATTCATGATCGGTCATTCAGGCAGCAAAGCAACAAGATGTGCGCATTCATTCGATGCCCATAAGTGCAACTCGTAATTGGTTTGCATTGGGGATAGCCAAACCTCCTTACCCACCATCCAGAGAACTTATCTAGCCTCGGCAAACTTGTCCCAGAGACCTGATTCAGTAGCTTATCCAAAGAATTACCAAACCCCCAAATCAGCCATCAGGTGTGGGATGGGATGGGAAGATACCATGTACATCATAAAGGTCGCTAACCTGGTGTGCTCCAACATTCCGTATCGCTGATCTGAATACGGAGCAGAGGAGTAAACTCGACAGCAAGATGATCAGAGTTCAACCACGCTGTCTTGATGCGATTGGATCAGATAACCCTAATTTAAGCCACAAAAATCAACTTGTTTAATATCAATGGGTGAGCTTCTCCATCAGGACGACCGTGTGGTAGTCGTCGAGCTGTGTGCGTAGGCAGGCTCTGTGACGGTCAGCAAAGCAAGCCAATCCATCCAGCTTGGCGGCTCCGATATGCGGCAGGAGAACCTTCAGGTCTTAATAATTGTTCATGTGCCCTTCGTCACGATATATTCATATGAGCCTCATGCAAGCAGCTCTTTCGCTGCCAAACTCCAGAGCGTGAAGATGCCAAATGAAGACATGGACAAGTACCAGCTCATAGGGCAATCTGCTCTCGCTGTTTCGATCCGAAAACAGAACCCATACATACTACAAGACCGTTGAATATAGCATGCCAAATCCCAAGCAAAATCGTCTTCCAGCCGTCCGTTTGCTACGAAGTTACCGCCATTTGTGCTCACACACTCCCAGCTCAACATCTTGCATCGTTATGACCAGTTAATTTACAGGTGAATCAGACATCTTGGAATTTATATCCATTCTCCGAGATCTATTCACAAATTACCATCAATCAAGCGCATCAAACTAGACCTAATATTTATCGTAGGTGACTGTAGAAGAAGTTCAACCCCCAGTATGAAGATAGACCCAAGACGACAGACCCATCTCCAATCCCCCATTTCCTGCTAGCAATGCGCCTCAGACATGAGAGGGTCAAAGAGACTCGCCTGGTGCTTCACTATACCGCACTGGTCCAGCGCCGCCCCTCCAAGCAAAGGACTGGCAGATTTCCAAGGCCCAGCGCCGGAAGAAACAGCCACCCATTTCTGCCCGAGTCCCGTCCCCTTTAATTGCAAAATAATTGAATGCATTATCCGGCGATGGCACGCATACCATGGGAAACCCCACGGGGATGGATACAGGAAAGGCTCGCCATCCTTCCCAGAGACGATCAACATAGGCTACCACTACAACTATCCAATTTCACCACCGTCTTCGCCTAGGTCTTCTCCCCCGCCAGGCTACAAAGATGCTTCGTCACAGGTCCCTGCCAAACATGACCATGGCCCTCCGGAACATCCCCCCGGCATATCTGAGGAAAAGCTATGGTGTTCGTCATCAACCTGCGACAGTGACCGAGCATCGGACACGGGCAAACCGACCCAGGAGGTACAAGGGGAGTCGGCCACGACACTACCCGTCACCACTGCGCCGGGCGACGAAATGAACCTCAAAATACCAAACTTAGTCATATCCATTAGGGAGCAATCCAAAGCTCTGTCCAAGATCCTTGCCGAAGATCAAGGGAGAGATGAGAGCGAGAAATACTGCGAGCACATCAAAGATGCTACCGACTGCTACATCTCTACGGTGGAGGACGTCCTTGAACATGTCAGGAGGGCAGAGAAGAGTCAATGGAAGGATTTAGAGGTATAGTTTCGCCGCTTTGCTTGAAATCTTTACGTCAGTCCTAGGATTTTAATAGCTCCGGTAGTCGGGGTTGGATTTACAGTTAACATGTAAGAGTGTCACTGGCTTGGACGCGGAAACGGGAACTACATTTTGGATCGAGAACAGAAGAAAGCAATGGAAAAGAGGAGAAAGCAGCGGTCAAGCTTGCCAAATCTCCAGCAGCACTAGAGCGCAATCACTTGATGGAACTGACAACAGTTTGTGCTCTGTTCCAGTGCCTCTGTGTCATCATGTGTTTCCTCCCTTGCCAATGAAAAGGTCACGATGGGTGCAACGCATTTCCGCCCTCGGGCTTCTCAGGCACGGGGGGGAGAAAATAAACAAGGCGTATTTCGTATTGCCGTAGCCTAGCACAATTTCTATAGATTGTGAAATGGACGGGATTTAAGACTGAGCTGGCACCCCTGGGCCTGGCTGGCTGGGCAGTTCGCACTCCCTCGGCGAGAGGCTGAGCTTGTACGCTGGCAACAAACGGAGGCATACAATCAATCATCATGACTACGATCAAACAACTGTAATTATGATACAGAACGAGTTTGCCCCAGAAGTATGGATGTGAGACCAAACCTGGTCATTATATCCAAGTTCTGTGGACCGTCCCATTCATCAGCATCAAACGACGACATCAAAATTCAGTATATATTTGGCGCGAGCAAGCGATCCTCTACAACCATCATTGAATCGGCCTAAAAACAAGAAAGAATACGAAGCTCGGCGTGAATATGTGCTAAGCTCAAGGTCAGAATGCAATGGCGCCCCTGGGTATCAGACAATCTCAAGGAGAGGGCCGAGCACACGATCCTACCAACGCTACCTCCTCGATCATCAACTCCCACCCTCCCGACGCCGCACATGCCAGTAATTCTTTGAGCAGCAACCCATCTTATATTAGAAAGGCGCGAGTCGATCCCTCAGATAAACTCACGAGTGTTCATCTGAGTAGACGCGGTTCCGACGAAGGCACCATCATTGGGATTGTCGTTGCTGTCATCGTCCTGCTAGTTCTGATCTTCATCCTTGCCATCCACTTTAAATACCAAAAGGGGGGGCAAAAGGCTGATAAGTCCAAGAAGGCCGAAAAAGAAAAGGAGAAGAAGAAGAAAAAGAAGGAGAAGGAGAAGAAGGAAAAGGATGAGGAGGAACGACTGGAGGAGGAGAAGGCGAAGAGGAAGAAAAAGCGAAGGGACAGGCGAAAGGAAACCGAGGAGAAACTCGCAAAGTTGGAGAAACACCAGTGGAGGGAGAAGGAAAGAAAGCGGATGAAAATGCGATACTCGGGTGATATGCATATGTTTGGCGGTCCTTTTTCTCAGCCCATGATGGTGCCTGTTGATGGCCAGGGGCATCCCCATCCATACAACGTCCCCACTGCGATGGATGCCCCCCAGGATCTGCCCCCAGATGCAATCTATTATCCTGATCTTAACTACCATCCCCTGCCCGCTTCTCTGTTTAGATTCTGCCATGGGGTGCCTCCTGGCGGCTCGCGAAGGCCTCCCGAGAGCCCTACTTGCACGGATTGCAGTGGGAGTTCGAACTCCACAGAAGATGGCTCATAATGTCTTTTATGCATGATGTTCTGAAACCGGAGACGGTCAGGATGAAGAACTGGGCACAATGACTTGAAAGAATTGTATTAAGAAAGGTCATGGTCAAGATGGCAATAGGTGAAAGTATAGACAGAAAATCCAGATGTGAGACCCATTTTCCTTCCTAGACGGAACCTTCAGAGACTATTTCCCTTGGATTGACTCCCAACTCCAAACTACAAGATACATCGCTTCCATAATACAGAGTCAAAACCCGCAAAGGTGGGAACTAAGAAGAAAGTAACCTGTGACAGAGACGTTAGCAGGGCTGAGAAACAAAAAGAGCATGGAAAGACGTACGGTAATAGCACAATTTCAATCCTTACGGGACGGTTTTCAGCCCTCTGGTGGCGGATCTGCAGCTGGTGGATCTGCAGCTGCCGCTTCTGCTGGAGGTGGTGCGTCGGCAGCACCTCCATCGGAGCTTTTCGAGCTACCAGAACTTCGAGAGCTTCCTTTGGAGTTCTTCCTGACACGATGATGAGGATGATGATGATGATGATGATTTTTACGGTGCCGTTTTCTGTGAGAAAGACGAATCGTATAGCGATACATGAAACAGAAGAGGCAGACACCGATGAGGAAAACGGCGAGGACAAGACCTACGATGAGGCCTGTCCGTATATTCGCATTCTTGGTGCCATCTTCAGAGAACTGACGGCGCTTGACGGCGCTTTGCATGGAAGCATCCTCGTGTAGAAAGTGGCGTTCATGATTCTGCTGCTGGCTTTGATCTGGCTTCCCCGAGTCATGACGCTTATACGGCGCCAACGACCGGAGAGGTGGCAGGGACAGAGGGATATACATCCACACTGCTAGATGGGATGCGCGCCTTATCTAAGAGCAGAATGAAGCCGAAGACAGTCTCACTCCGTCGGAACGACAGGCGCTGCAGACGCAGGGGTCACAGGGAAGTGCAGGGAATGGTAAGAGACAAACAAACACATGTTGCTGTCATCTTCCCACAAGACGTGGAACAAAGCAGTATAGTCCGGAACAGGAGAGGAACTGAGTGGTCCTATTTATCAGGCAACCGAAGGCGCATACCCTCAGTCCATCAGGGTCCGTCTGGGCCGTGAATGGGATGAGTGGGACATGATGGGAGGGCTAATGCATCAACCTGCATACGTCCATCGTGGCGAGAGACTGTAAGACATGCACGCCTGGGCTTCCATTGCCATGCTTTGGCGTATCACAGTCGAGGCGCACTTTTGGATGGTGGGTTTGAAGAGCCCAATGGCACCGTTGCGGGGTGGCTGGTCCGTCAACGGCTTCCAATCGATTAATTCGAGGCTCGAGTTGGAGGGGACGAGCCTACAGCTGTGCATATGCACCCTTTGTAAATCACTTGATAGAGCAGACGGAGAGCGTAACCCATGCTCTCCCCATCGACCCAATCTCTTAGTCAAAATCGCTGATAACAAGACTGGCGATCGATGGAAACTACGTTCCAAGGCAGGCGGTCACGGGATATCTGGAATCTGGGGAGCAAAGCGGTGCCACAAGACTTGAGGTAGATAGAAGAAAATAAGAAGCTGCGGAGCGAGATTCGGGGGGGTACCAAAGTGCCTCAGAGTCCGGGGTTGGTCAATGAAGGGGGTGTCACTCGAGAAGGCGTCCTGCGCGCCGAAGCCATCCAACCACGATGCAGGAATGGGAGAGGGCGGGAGTCGAGATGGTGGTGGATGGGCGGCCCAGCTGCAGCCAACGTTTTCGAGTTCGGCGCCTGCAACCCTCAGTGGTGTAGCGCAGCGAAATCAATCACGGAAGCTGACCCATGCAATGCACACAATAGCTCTGCATCGGGTGACCAGAACCAACATAAGGGTGTCGGACAACGCATTGCGCCCAAAAAGTCGGGGACCACACGCGGGCCGTTGGTTCTCGCCCGTTGGACCCCGCCCCTCCAACCAGCCTCGATTTCGTCCATCCATGATGCACCCAGCCATCCATTTTGCTGCCGGCTTCGCTGGCCACGATGGTAGGCTGGCTGACGTCCGAAGGAGAGCCAGCTCTCAGCGCGATGCGGCCGCAGCATGGCTCCTCAACGGAGGAGGGCCTCGTTGGGTACCAATGGCCTTGTCGCAAGCCTGCGCATGGTTCGTGGGCGGCTTGTCCTTCGTTCTTGGCGACCGGGTGGATGGAACCATTGACATGTAGACAGAACAGGGCGGAATGCGCGAGTTCGTTGGATGGAAAAAAAAGCGAGGAGCGACGAGTGTCTGTCTGGTGGTTGCCGTGATGCAGCGACGTGCATCGGGGAAAGAGGAAACTACTTCCCAAGTGCCTGCCTCCTGCCCGATGTAAAGACCAGAATAGCGCAGCAACTCGCACAGCGGCACGTGCCTCCAGTTCAACACCTCTATGAGGCCCATGTCATTTATGCGACGATCTTGTCGAATGCGCCGACCGGAACGAGCTACACTTGATGGGCCAAACCAGGCAGATGACTACTCGACACTTATCAGTTCTATAGTCGACACGCGCTTTGGGTCTCATCAGGCACCATCGCTGCGGCATTGCTATCTATCAAGGTTCTCTCCGGCAGCTGGTGCAGGGAACCCCAATGAAGCCAGCGCATGTATTTGCGCAATCTAGACCAATTCTTCGGCATCAAGTGCTCATCTGCCCCTCCCATTCCATGCCGTGTCAGGCCAACAGCCGTCGGAATGCCGCTCTTACAGAAGAGCACCTACACGCACGCTGACAGCCGCCCGGAACCCTACCACAGATCCAGAGGCTTCCAGAGAAAGCTTCACAAAGTCCTCCGATGGGCATGTCCAAGAGATGCCATACTGCGTGACACCCGGGAAACAACCCCTCCAAGGTCATCAAGGCGTATGCATGTTTCTTTGACAAGATCATCTGCTAAGATGCCCATGGAAACTCGTGTATCAGCTGCCACAGATGTCGCATCAGGGACAAGGTTAGGAGTGGTGATTCATGGACGAGACCCAACACTGACAGTGATTCACTCAAGTATCAGAAATGAATGCGCTGGACCGTCTCAATCACTCTCTTCACGTCCTCATTTGCCTTCAATGGCTTCCATTCCAGGCTTGTGAGCGCCTTTAGAGCCCAAAGAAGGCGGCCGATAGCGTTGGCACCTATGTACAAATGAGCACCACGCGGTGGTTTTCCATTTGACGTCAACTCGACCCAAATGAATCCCTTGTCTCCGATTCTGACAACAAGAGGCGACCCTGTATCACCACATATCAAAGTATCACATTACACCGCACTCGCGTTATCGAGCAGATAGCCCGAGCCCAACGTCCCCGTGGTCCCCTCGTGACATGGGATAGCGATGACAGCCTCTCCATCCCAGTAGTCCTTTCTAGAGTTGAGGAGAAGAGTCCAGTTTCATGCGTCTCCAATTGGGTGAGTATTCAAATGGCCACGAACAACGAGACGTTGTCCAGGCCTCTCGATCGCACTATTGTAACCACATTAGTAATTTCCATGGCTGTTTGTCTCATGTGTCTTAGGGACACTTCAATGTGAGCTCTTAGATCAAATTATCTGCAACAGAGGCCGCATCAGCGACATCGTTGTGTGTCCATCGTTAGATCAAGTGCAACTCATCTGCTTTTACATGATCCGAAAGCGACACGGAAACAGTGTCAGTTTCCATGTTATCGGGACTCGGTGTCCAGAGACCGGAGACGAAAAACAGTTGCCGTACTGTCGCCCAGGATCTACAACACATGTGTCAAATTCGGAAACGGATATTAGCATGATTGGTTTCCTCAAATATCCTTCAACCCGCCCAAAAGTTGCTCACTCACCAACTATGAAGCATCTTGTGTTGCCATTTTCCAAGCGGCATCAGCTGCCTCATATTTTGTTACGCACCCAAGCACCTAAACCCTCTCAAGCTCCAGAAAATGTAGCGTTTTACCATGCATGATTGTGCCAAAACGGCTCAGGGGGTCAGCAATGTCAGCAATTACCGTCATGATGTTCGAGATCGGCAGATCGCCTCGCTCCAGAAACACCCATCCTACCCGATTCCGACCATGTCAGTTTCATCCGCGCCACCATGCACAAAACCACTGTTTTCACAGCTTCGACCTATCATCTCAGTGAGACTAATTACAACCTGCCGCTTTGCCCCCTGCCCAGCGTTTCATCTTAAGCCTCTTCTGCCCCTAACCCCTAGTCTATCCCCAAATCTGAGTTAGGTACTGCAGCTTATGATGTGAGCGGGCGTTGGAGCTTCTTCAAAGGGAACGAACGATACGCATCCGACGACAGCCAAGCGACATAGCATGGTTTGATCATGTTGAAAATGATTATGTATGCAAGTTGACGTGGGATCTAGACTGCATTCCGGATGCCAAGATGCAGGGGGCGGCGACCTTGGTTTGCCATGCATTCTAATGAAAAGCTATTACTTGCTTGAATGATTGTTGCCTTCTTTCAACAGGTTCCTCTATGGCCTACTTGTCGCTCCTTCGTTGTTCGTGGTGATTATTCTGTCGGTGACCCGATGAAGACTGTGCAGATAGCCTCAGTATCACATCGATCTTTGGTCAAAACGTTCATTCATTTACTTCTTCACCTCGAATCGCAGGTCGCAGGTCGCTCATTTGCCGTTCACGTCCGTTCCGGGGATACCGATATCCCTATCTTGGGCGCGTCTCTCAAATTCTACCATTACCTTGTCTTCCTATACAGAACAATCTTTCGGCCAGGTGCCGAATTACTGTCAAGATGACGAGACCTACTTCGCTAGTCGAGCTCCTCCTCTGGGCAGGTACAGTCCACTCGTGGCCTCAGTTAGCACCATCAGTCGAATCAACGTCAATCATTCCGTATACTCCAGGTTCATCCAGGTCACTACCACAAGTCGATGAAGCCGAATCTTCAGAGACACTGCATATCCCCTCCACACGACAGCCCGATCTCCCAGTCGACGAGGATTTGAATGAATTCTCATATACGCTGCCCGTCGGCCTAACACGAGGCTTGCCAGCCGAGGATGAAGTAGTACCAGGAACATTTACTCTGCCTATCATTCATGCCACCAAGCCCGGACTAGTAAGTCGATCCGTCGAGGTGAAGCTTGAAAACCGGTCCGATGTCGCATACTATGCTCAACGTAAGCCCCCTTTGTATCCGATATCTACTCGTAGACGGGAATGCTAATTGCAGAATGTGCAGTCCAATTCGGAACCCCTTCCCAGGCGATTTATGCTCAGCTTGACACCGGCTCCTTTGAGTTGTGGGTAAATCCCACATGCTCCGGCCTCTCCACCCCCGACGCCAAGTTCTGCGAAGCCGTCGGCAAATACAAGCCCGGAAGCTCCTCCACATCCAAGTCTCTGTCCAAGAGCGGGAAGCTCAACTATGGCATCGGCGGCGCCGAGGTCGACTATTACTCGGACACGATTGGCCTCTCGAGCTCCTCGAAGCTCAAGAACGTCCGCTTCGGCGTGGCCTCCAAGACTGAGGACCAGTTCGCAGGCGTGCTGGGTCTCGGCCATGGGAAGGGCTTCAACACGGACTACCCCAATTTCCTGGATGAGCTGTCAACCCAGAAGCTGGTTGACACGAAATCGTTCAGCGTGGCGCTGGGCAGCAAGGCTGAGGGCGGCGGCGTCATCGTCTTTGGCGGGGTAGACACCTCCAAGTTCTCTGGCAAGCTTGCAAGCCTTCCCTTGATTGCTGCCTCTGACGCTCCTGACAAGGTAGCGAGGTACTGGGTATCTATGGAGTCAATCTCCCACAGTCCTCCTAACAACGGCAAGGGGAAGACGTGGGATAACACGAAGCTGCCCGTGTTCCTTGATACTGGGGCCACACTCACGCTTTTACCCAGTGATGTGGTGAAAGCCATTGCTGCTGATCTCAAGACCACGGGATTGGATGACGCCGGATTTTACGGCGTGGACTGCGGCCTTGTTTCGCAGCCCGGAACAGTGGACTTCAAGTTCAACGGCGTAATAATCAAGGTGCCCTACAAGGAGATCATCAGGGAATTCTCCTCGATGAAGAAATGCTACCTTGGTATTGCTGCCAGTGATAAGTACTCATTGCTTGGTGACACGTTCCTCCGCTCGGCATACGGTACGTCCCCTCCATTCGAAAGGAACTGTCACGATATGAAATCTAACTTCCTCTCTTACCAGTTGTCTTTGACTTGGATTCAGACACAATCTTCATGGCCCCATATGAAAACTGCGGCAGCTCCGTTTCCAAAATCACGTCTTCCAAAGACCTCAACGGTCTCAAGGGCACATGCAGCAGCAACGACGACGATACCGAGAACAGCGGAAACGGCACCGACAGCAATGACACCAACAACCAAAAGTCCGCGACCTCAACATCAAACTCCAAGACCGCATCCCCCACACAAACGACCCAGCCGCTGACGACGAAAATCCCACTCATCTCCTCCGCGACCGAGGCACTCGACCTCGCCACCGGGTCCCCGAGCCTCGTCACCAGCACCACCAGCGCCTCGGGATCAGAGCATACGGGGCCTTCGGGGAACACCCGCGAGGGAAGCATCGACAACCTGCTTGGCCACGAAAGCGACGGCAGCGCCGCTGGGCCATTGTTTTGTCTTAGCAAGGCGCTGCTTGGGGTCAGCCTAGCATCTATGGTGGTTCTTTTTATGTAGATTTTTCTTTTCTTAGTAGCGTGATTGTATCTATGTGAAAATTGACTAAAATGGCTTTGATTTCGGCAGGCGATGAAAATGAAGCTCTAGAGCTACTACAGTCTTACTTCCTATACAACTGATGCGTTGAAAATTGAAATACACTACAGCGAATTGAGCATACATCATATTCATCTTGAGCCCATCATCAATCATGAAGCCCGTTGAAACACACGAAACCGCCCTTGTACCCTAAAAGGCATTTGATGTTTTGGGGCAGCCACGTTTTGTTCACAAAGCATAAATTTAGAGTACAGCAACAAACATTCAAACAATCACACAGTAAGCAGTAAGAATCAGTTGGCAGAAAAAAGAATTTGGCTTTTTCTATTCAAATCATGTCCTTTCCCTGGGGAATTAATCGTTATATACGTTTTTTGTCGTAGAAGCGAACGGAACCCGCCCCGCGAGTTCCCTATGTACAAATTCACTCAGCCAACCTGTTACCAAATCCAATAACATGTTTTTTTCTTAGATCTGGGCAATGTATGGGGGACCGAAGCCCTTCTCTCCAAAGACAGCCAGGGGAAGGGTGGCCTTGGGGGTCTCGGCGACGGAGCCATCCTCGTTGATGCCGAAGGCGACAGCGGCGTCGGGACCGTTCTGGTTGCCGAGGAAGATCTCAGAGCCGCTTGCGCTGATGCTGAGCATACGGGGGAGGACACCGCCAGTGGCAATCTCCTTGCCGGGGGTGAGGACGCCACCGTCGATCTTGAAGTGGGCGAGGGTGTCGGAGTCGGCGCCGGTGAGACGGTTAGTCACGTAGACGTCCTTGTTGTTAGGGTGAAGGACGATTCCACCTGCGGCAGCACCTTCGGGGGCGGTGCCGGAGACGAAGCTAGAGATGATCTGGGACTGGTTGACGGTGACGCCGGTGGCGGAGTAGCCGAGCTGGTTGACGATGATCTCGTTGGAGATCTCGCAGACCACCAAGTAGTGGGTAGCCTCGCCAGTGTTGGAAGGGTACCAGACACCATGGCGAGGTCCGCAGCCAGCCTTGGTGGGGATGTTTTGGACAATCTCGTACTTGTCATCCTGGGTGTCCAGGATCATGATGTTGTCGAAGCCAAGATCGTTGATGGCGAAGTAGCGGCCAGAGGGGTCGAGGTTGGCCTGGTGAGGGTGAGAAGCATCCTGGTTGGGGCTCTTGGGGCCGGGAGTGCCAGGAGCAGGGATGGTCTTGATGAGCTCGAGTCTGCCGCCGGCGATGTCCCAAACATCGACGGTACCGTTACCGTAGGCGGCACCGACAAGCCGAGTGTTGTCCTTGTTGAAGCCGAGGTGGACGACACCGGAGCTGCCAGTGGCGGTGACCGACTCGGTCAGGCTGGCGGAGCCATTCTTGCCGTTGCCGCGCTCGAGGTTGAAGATGCGAAGGTCGTCGCCGTTCTCGTTGACTGCGTACAGCTTGTTGGGCTCGACGAACTGGACCCATGTAGGGGCACCAGTGACGTCGGCCTTGAGGGTGACATCGAACTTGGAGCCGTCGTAGTTGGCGAGGAAGACGTTGCCAGTAGTGGTCATGAGAACCTGTGATGAAGGGAGGGTGCTGTTGGAACCGGGGTTGGGACGGCCACCATCGCAGCCGTCTCTCAACCCGCGGGCGGCGAGGGCACCGGCGGTGATGGCGGAGTAAGGAATCTTCATGGTGAGAGAGTTGTATGTGTTTGTTTCCTTGGTTGGTCTGAAAAAGTTGTGCAAGCAAAGTGAGAAATGGAAGCAGGTGCAAGCCTTTTTAAATACAGGAACCTTTTCAAAAGGATGTAGAAGAGAATGAGTGAATGGGAGGACAGACAGATGACTGGTGAGACAATGGAAGGGAAAGAATGTCAAAGAGAACTTGAACTGAAAACCAGCTTGAGTCCACAAGTGCAGAGGTTAGAAAAGGAACGGGCAGACGAGTCCCATATATACATGGACCACATTGTGTAGCTCATCTCTTTGAACACTTGCCAAATCAGCTTAGAATGAGCACGGCAAAGCAAAAAGCACACTACCGGTGGCACAATAGACTGCGCAGGCAGGCATATCCAGGCTGGAATGGGCCCTGGTCAAGTCGTTCACGTTTCAAAGTGGCTCGGGCGCTGCTGGAAGAGACAATGAGTGGAGGCCGAAACACAGCCGCTGGTGCTGATCGGCATGATAATAAGCTTATGGAAGTGATGTGTCTGGTCAATGAGCCACAAAGGGAAGAAGAGGGCAGGGTTAGCAGGGGTCGCGGGGACAAGGGCGAATGATGTGGTTCCGAGGAGCACAAGGCTCGGGTGGAGGAGATTCGCGAAACGTCCAGTAGGAGGGAGCCAAGCTCATCAATATCAGACGAAGCCCGAGATGCATTGAAAGCATTGGGCGCTGCGACTTGCCGTGCAGCTCCGTCATGAAACAAGGGGGACGGGCTTCCCCGCTGGGCGGCAAGGATTGGCTGGGCGGCCACCGCGACTCAGAGCACTGCAGGCGGCGTTCAGTGGAGTTTAGAAGGGGCGTTAGGGGGTGCAGCCGCTGGATCCTTCAGTCTAACTGCCGACAGTGGACAAGTCCCAGTGGAGCAGGCCCCTTTCCTGAAACCCAGATGCGCCATCAAGGACGCTCTGTCCTACAACACTCCTTTTCCTTTGAAATCGTCCGAAATCTTGATCAAAGTCGAGCTCGTGCATAGGGGCCGGTTTTACTTTATTTTTAATCCTCCCGTGGTTCACTCCCCGGTTCATTCTTCTGCGTTTTGTTATGCCTGTACGCCCAGATTGATTGGCTAGCATTGTATCGCGATGCGGGTATCTAGAGCACAAGTAAGAAGATTGTTCAGCTGAGACAAACAGAGTTGGGCGCCTAATATCCAATCGTAGCGACACTGCTCATGGCCCACAAGCATCTTACTTGCATGATCCGGAGTATTCAGATCACCAACCATCATTAATATGCTTCAACTACCTACTCATAAGCATATTCGGAAGCTCCATCACGATCAGAGGACTCTGGCCAATCACGCCGGCCCCACTGATGTTTCAACCACCCGATCCTTCCCCAGCACATGGTCCAAGCCTAATGGAACCAAGATTCGCCATCTTCGGGCATGTCCTTTGTGATTGCGATGGTCCGGCATTACCTTTACATGCGGAAGCTGTTCCTTGCAAGACAGGACAAGGACATCCGCCTCGGCTCCCGCCCTGCTCACCTACGACCGATGGAATTAGATGTCGAACGAACGTAGATGTTATTGTCATAAGCCTCAGCCTGCCTCTGCCCCTCCAGAAAAAGAAATGCAAAATAAGGCTGGGGCTAGCGCAATAGCAGGCCCTACTATGGCCGCAGTTTCAAGATCTGACAGTGCAATCTATCTATGGCTACGGGGCTCGGAGAAATCGCAAGACGGACAGGGGCTCCCCCACAAACTCCCATAGCGCGTATAGCACCGAATACCGCTATAGTTGAGCACTACCAGGCAGTGACCTCCACTACATGGCACCGGCTGCTCCAAGTTCCGCAGCCACCTTGGAGGCTGAGCCTACGGAAGCCACCACAACATCAATCAGCTGATGAAGCCGAACCAACGAGCGAATATTAAGTGCTGAGGGCCGATCAGAGCTCTAAAAATAGGCACCTGGGAGTTTAAAGAAACTCTCTACCACAGATCTACAAACACAGCTCTGTCTGCCATCTCAACTGACTCGGCCGCTTGTCCTACAATCAAAGCCGAACACACAACAAAAGTCTTTCATCAACTTCTCCGCAACAAGAGAAAGGCAATGGCTGCTGTTCAATGCCATTCTCCATCGCCACCGTTGTGATGGAACGGTATCAGAAGCAGCACCGGAGCGCGCGGCTCCCTCGGGCCCTCCCTAAACTCGGACGAACATTCTGGCCCATTTACCACCCTCACTTTATCGTGCAGGCGAGGTAACATCAACTAGGCTGGCCCCCGAGAGTTTCACGTAGTCGCGTCGATCTTCCGACCTGCTCAAAAGGGCGGCTTTCCAAGAGGCTTTCCCCCCTCACCCCTGGCTCCTCAAAATGGGAAGTTCGATGTTTCACATGTAGGCGTGCTGTTAGCTGCCACTATATGCGTAATGCCGATGAATATCAAGTGGTATTGCAGCTACAGAAATTAGTCTCAGTGTACTGGCCAGCTTCGTTGACACCTTCTCAGTTCGTAGCCTCATTCATGAAGTTTGACGTTGTGAGTAAACCCCGTATTGCCTGAAGATCATAAGTCCGGCTCAACGACAGAACCGGGTCTCGGAAATGCATTCCCCATCGTCTATTCAGTATCTTGCTCAGAGTGATGGACAAGCTTAGCCTACAGAATTAGGTTTCTAGACCTGTCCACGAGGAACTAACACATGCGCAACAAGCCTTGCTTAGTCTTTCCGGTCTTGCCTTTAGACCTGCCGGCAATGTCTCACCATGAAATGCTCCTACACTGACCACGCTTCCCCGAATCAGGCTACATAAGACCGTCTTGACCTAGCTGCTTCCCAGTCGCCGTTGAAAAGATATTTGAAGTATTTGCAATGGCTCTCGTTGGCCAATACAGTGTACATGAACCTCATCGCTCCAGATTAACTACAGACACAGCACTCTCGGGTCTCTAAAGCAAGATGCCGAAACGCTCACCTCCAGGCTGAGACTGTCTCCTCATTCAACAGGAAGGAAGAACCCGATGCACGCACTACCAAGACAGGCGGACTCCAACTTCCAATACACAAGTGACACGAGATGCGCGAGATGTTGCCTTTATGTTGATGCGTGTATATATTGCTTGGATTGCCTAAGTGTGTATATAGAAGAATCCACGAGATATCTACAAAGCTCTTCCTCATCAGCCTCTCCATCAGAGCTTCAAAGAGAGACCGGACGGCTCCAACAGCCATTAATCTTTTCCAGCGAATGCAGCCCATATGCTAAGGGGGCGAAAAGCGCAAACAATAAACTAAAATGGGTTCAAAAAAAATATAGAGGAAACG